GGGGCTGGACGCGCTCCCGGAGGGGCAGCCGGGCTGGAGCAAACCCCGGGAGGTGCCGGGATGAAGCGGCAGCTCTGCCCCGGCCGCCGCTTCGGAGGAGCGGGGCAGCCGCTGCGCTGCCGCGGCTGCGTTTGTGGGCACCGCGCCGTGGGAAACAGGGCCGGGCGCCTGCGGGATGCTCCTGGCTCCGTGGGGATGGAGGCCTGTGGTTCTCTACCGCCGTCCTGCTGTGTCCCCTGGGGCCACCGCTGCCCATGGTGCCGCTTTCCCGGCCGTGGCGCCGCTTTCCCGAAGTACGGGGCAGCCGAGCCATATGCCAGGACCAGGCGACACCGCCGGGACTGTGAGGGCTCCGGGCGAACTGGGCAATCCCTGTGACAGGGGCCCTGGGTTTCAGCATCCCTTCCTCTTGCCAAAAGTCTCCACGGGGTCTTTAATTACTGCAAGTGGCGCGAGGCCTTGGTGGCACCGGGTCCCTTGCGGGAATTGCCCGTTTCCGTGGGTGCCTCGAGCCGCCAGCGGTATCCACCGTGGCCCCAGGAAGCGCTGGGACCGGGAGCCCGGGCGCTCGCGTGTGGCTGCGCCATTAATGATTAACGAAGGGCTCCATGGCGCAGGAAGGTGGATGACCCGGGAGCCACGCGGTGCCGGCGCCGTGCGGAGCCTTTCACCTCGAGGCCAAACTCTCTCCCCAGCGCTGCCCCCGCGGCTGCGGCCTCTCCCCCGGCACGAAGTCCGGTGCGGGGGGAGGCGCGTGCGGCGGGGCTGGGCTCCCTGGGCCACCGCAGCGTGCGGGGGACAGGGGGTTGGCGGGGCCAGCCTCGCAGTGCGTGAGAACAGCGGCGCCTCGGCGTTCCCGCTCACCGGGCCCATCCCGCTTGCCCTTTCCCTGCTGTCRGCCCGTGATTTATGGCCCTTTCGCTGCTCCCTCCCGCCCCCCGTGCCCCCTGCAAAAAAATAATAATCCGGGAACAAAGGAGGAAATCGGATCCGGCCCCTGGCGGCTCGCGGCCCGGCCGAGCGGCYGTGCGTCTGCAGTGGCCGATTGGCGACGGCGTTTGATCTCTGGAGGAATTCCTGCCTCCTCGTGCTGCTCCACTGCCCCCGTGGCACGAGGGGCCCCGTGTCCTGCAGCTGGGGGGATGCGCGTGGGCCCTGCTCCGGGCAGGATCTGGCCCCGCAGCGCCTGGTGCTCTGCAGCCATCCTGCCCTGTGCAGGGTGCTGAGCCCCGGCTCTCCGGGCGCATTCCTGAGGCCRGAGCTGCTGCTCTCCTCCTGCTCAGCTCCTGCCCGGGCGCCGCGGTGAGGGCTGCTCCCTGCCCTACATTCCCGGGATATCAGATCCCGCGCCCCCGGCACCCACCCGGCGTCGCCCAGGCCAGGCTGGACGCTCCCTCCCCGGTGGGGGCATGAATCACGCCCTCGCTCCGCCCCAGCGCCAGATGTGCCGCTGCCCGCCGCCGGCGCCGTGGATTCTTCCTCCTCGGGCTCCCAGCTTCTTCCCACAGCGCTCGGAAACTCCTGTCTGGAGCAGTCCCTGGGAGCAGTTTGCCAGTCCCCATGGGCTCTCCCACTGCGGGGCTTGGCCTGTGGCCCCGGCTGCAGGAGATGCTGCCCTGTGACCAGGGAAACTGAGGCAGGGAGCGGGCTGGCGAGGCAGCACCTGCAAATTGGCAGGCAGAGCCCTCCCAGCCTTGCTGCAGAGAGCTGCACTGTGCCATGCTGTGCCATGCCATGCCGTGCTGCACAGCATCTTGTCGTGTTGCAGTGTGCCGTGCTGCAGCATGCCGTGCTGCACCGTGCCATGCAATGCTGCGAAGCACCGTGCCCTGCTGCCGTGTCGTGCCACGCTGCAAAGCACTGTGCTGTGCTGCACTGAGCTGTGCTGCGCCTTGCCATGCTGCACCGTGCCGTGCCATTCCAGTGACGCCTGGCCCTGCGCCCCAAGCACATGGCACGCGCTGTCCTTGGCAGAGGCTCGGGGCATGCGGCAGCTGGCACCACGGCTGGGCCCAGAGCCACGGCGGGTGACGGGGAGACCCCAGGGCCCCTGGCTGGTGCAGGGAGGGGGCCTTGAGAGCAGCCCCACAGCCCCGTCCCTTTCACGCGGCTCCTGCTGGAGCCTGACCCTGCGCACAAAGCACCCAGGGGCCATTTGAATGTGAAAGGGGACCGAGCGCTGGGCCCTGACCTTCAACCCGCGGGTCAGCCCGGCCCCGCCGGGACCCCTGCCGTGCTGTGCCGTGCTGTGCCGTGCCGTGCTGTGCTGTGTTGTGTTGTGTTGTGCCATGCCATGCCGTGCTGTGCCAAGCCGTGCTGTGCTGTGCCGTGCTGTCCCGTGCCATGCTGTGCCATGCTCTGCCGTGCTGTGCCGTGCCCTGCTGTGCGAGGGGGCCGCTGCAGGCCCGGGGCTGCTGCCCACGTGGCGGCTGCTCCCATTTCATGCCGGCGCTGCTCCCTGGGGTGCCAGGAAGTCGTCCTGCGATCCGGGTCGTGGTGCAAGCAGGGATGTGGGGCTGCCCCCATTTCCCAGGGCTCTGGGCACTGGGGGGTCTGGGAGCTGAGCTGCATCCTGGCCCCACACCCCTGCATCCTTGTCSACATCCCTGCCCTGCCTACTAGTCTCCCTGCTTCCCTGCCCCACATCCCTGCCCCACTTCCCTGCATCTCTGCCCTGCAGCCCTGCTCTGCATCCTGGCTTCCTCCCTGCATCCCAGCCTGCCCCCCTGCCTCCCAGCCCCACACCCCTCCAATCCCTGCTGCATCCCTGTGCTCTCCATGGCCACGGGCTGGGATATCGATCCAGYGAGCCTTGAACTCCACTTTGCATCTTCCCCGGGGAGACGTCGGCAGCTGAGGCCGCCTGCTCTGTGCCTGGGCTCGCTGCGGGCGCCGCGGCGGTGGTCGGCGCACCGGAGCGAGCCGGGGCCGCTGCTCCCCTCTCTCCTGCACGTGCAGCGGGACCCGCTGCCCCCTCGGTCACCTTGGATCCCTTGTTGGGGARGACACAACAGCTTCATCAGCACCTGGGGGTGGCTTTGTTCCCATCCGGCCGCCCCTCGGTGGCGCCTCGGCCCTGCCTGCTCCGCTGTCCCCACCCCAGCGCCTTGGCCACACRAGCCTCATCCCAGGGCAAAGCGCTTCTTTATTCTCCCCGTGGCCAGCGGCGGGTGACGCCAAGGGCTGTGGGCGGGCGCTGCTCCTAGATGCAGGTCTCGCTGGTGGTGGTGTCGCTGGTGGAGGTGGCGCTGGTGGAGGTGGCAGCGGGCGCGTGGAGCTGCTCCAGGCGCGCCAGCCGCCGGGCCAGCGCCTGCGCCTGCTGCTCCTGCTGCGCAGCCAGCGCCGCCGCCTGCGCCTGGCGCCGCCGCAGCTGGGCCTCCTGGCGCCGGCGCGCGCCGCGGTACGCCAGCGCCAGCGCGCTGCGGGCACCGGCACGTCAGGGTGCGAGGGGACAGGGGGGCGCGCGGGAGGCAGGCGGGGAGGATGGCTGGGACCCTGGGCATGCAGGAGAGGGTGGCACAACCAGGGGACACAAAGGGACAGAGGGCTGCATGAACAGGACCGTGCTACCAGGGCATGCAGGAAGGGGTGGCACGTCTAGGGGACATGGCAGGGCTGCTGCCTGCCAGGGATGCAGAAGAGCGTGGCACGTCCTGGGCTGCTCCCTGCCAGGGTGCACAGGGAGGCACCGTGCAGCCGGTGCAYGCAGAATGGACCTGGTGCATGCAAAATGGACCCGGTGCACACAGAATGGACCCGGTGCGTGYGGGCCCGCGTGCCCAGTGCCCACCTGTGCGCGTGGCAGAAGTCGCGGGCCAGGGCGCTGCAGTGCACGTGCTGCACGTGGCTCTCGGTGCTCGCCTGCTCCAGGGCGCGCAGCAGGGCCTGGGTGCGCGCACGCAGATCCTCGCTCCTGCGGGGGACACACGTGGCACCGGGATGGGCAGTGCCCCCCGGTGCCCTGTGGCACTGTCCTGTGTCGCTCACCGAGCCAGCGCCTCCAGCAGCTCCTGTGTTGTCCCTGCCGGGTCCATGGGAGCTGCTGCTCCGGTGCAGCCGGGCTCAGCATCCTGCTGGGGCCGGGCACCGGTCAGCACCAGGGCAGGGCGAGGACCCCCTCCCTGGGGATGAACCCCGTAATCCCCCCCACATTCCAGCACCCCCGGGGGGAGAAGCCCCAGCAGTTCCTCCCGGGGGGCCGGGTCTACCCGGGACAGGGGGTCTGTCCGTCGGTACCTCCTCGCCGCTGCTGCTGGCGGCCTCCCCGTCCCGCTGCCACTGCAGGTGCAGGAGCAGCAGGCGCAGCGCGTCCTCGCGCGGCCCCTGCGCCGCTGCCAGCACCTCCAGCCCCCGCTTCTGCGTCTTCTCCAGCTGCAGCTGCACCTGCAGGTCGGCCATGGCCTCCTGGGAAGGGGGGACACGGCGTCACCTCGGGGTGTCACCTCCCAGTTGGGCAGCGCTTTGCAAGGGGCTGTGGAGGGACCCAGGCACCCGGCCCCGACTCGCCCCGTGCACCTTGAGCGTCGCCAGCTCCAGCAGCAGCTCTGCCTTGTCCAGCTCCGGCCGGGACACGGGGGTGGCCAGCGGGGGCTGCGCGTCCTGCAGCGCCCGCTCGGCCCGAGCGCGGATGTCCTCGCTGTGACGGGCCAGGGTGCCAGCGGGCACGGGGGTGGCGCACAGCGAGGCCTGCACCGCTGCCTGCTCCGCGCGTAGCTGCCGGATCCGCTCGCGCAGGCTCCCTTCATCTGCACCGGCACCTGGGGATGCCCTGCGGTTCTGCGGAGCACCAGCATCCCCGTGCAGGGGACCGGCAGCCTCCTCACATCCCGCATGCTGCATCCCACCGCCCGCCCGGGTGCGACTCACCGCTGCTGGTGCCCGGGTGCAGCTTGGCGCGCGTCAGCGCGAGCAGCGCTCCGTACGCATCCACACAGCGCTCGCTGCAGCGAGATGGGGCTCAGCGCCGGCGCGGGAGCCCACGGGGCCCTGGTCCCGCCGCCGCTGCCCTACCTGCAGTGCAGTGCCAGGCGCAGCGCGGTGCCCTGCGCCTCGTGCTGGCCCAGCACCATGCTGAGCCGCTCCGAGTGGCTCTTGCAGTCGTGCAGCGCCACCGACAGCAGYTGGTTTGCGGCCCGGAGCCGCTCCAAGTGCCTGGTGGAGCCGCAGGGCAGCGTCAGCGCCAGCGCGTCACTGCTGTCCCCGCAGCCCCCACYGCGGCCGCTCACCCCTGCAGCTGCTGCAGCCGCCGCTCGGGCTCCGTGGGCGGCGTGGCGGGGGGCTCCCTGCGGGACACGGCGCCGTGGTAGCTCCGCGCGCGCCGCAGCGGGTCACGAGCCGCGCTGGACGGAGCGGGGGGCCTGCAGAGCACGGGGGAGCCTCCGCACGGGGTCTCGATGCTGCTCAGCGCGTCCTGCAGCTCCCGCGCCTGGGGGACAGCGGCGCTCAGCAGGGGCAGCTTGGCGGGCCCATGGGGTGAGCAAGGGGAAGCGCGATCGGAGGGGCACAGCAGGCACGGCGCAGCGCGGCGAGGCGCCCCGTGCCCACCCTGCGCTGCAGCCGGTCCCGCTCGTGGCGCAGCGCGGCCAGCGCCGCGCTCGCCCGGCTCAGCTCCTCGTCGCGGCGCCCCAGGGCCTCCCGCAGCGCTGCCCGCCCCGCCGCCGCCGCCGCCGCCTCCTCCTGCAGCCTCGCCGCGTCCTCGGCCCTGGCGCCGCGGCCCTCGGCCCCGCATGCGGCCAGCTCCTCCAGGCTCTGGGGGGACAGCGGGGTGCTGCTGCGGTGCCGCCTGTCGCTGCGGCGGCGGGGTGGCCCCGCGCGCGGCCGCTCACCTTGGCCGCCCGTGCCCACTCGTGGCCGAGCGCCGGGGGACGCCCGTGCCGGGAGAAAACAGCACGTTCCAGCGAGCTCACGGCCTGCTGCACGGCTGCAAAGAGGTCAGCGCCACCGGGCCGCCGCTCCTCCCCTTCCTCACCCTCCTCGTCCTCCTCCTCCTCCCTGGGGGCAGCAAGGGGGAGATGCAGAAGGGCTGCACATGGCCCCCCATGGTGCGACGCGTCCCCGTGTGCTGGGGCCGTCCCCGGCGGTACCTGCTGCTCCGGCGCTGCCGCGGCTCCGCTGTGCGGTGCGGCCAGGGGGGCAGCAGCCCCGTGACGTCCTCCTCGCCGGGCAGGGGGTCCCCGTCACCCCCGGCCGCCACCTCGGCCTCCTTCTCTGTCTCAGGTGCTGGGGGCTGCGGGGAACGTGCACCCGTCTGCCCATGGCGCCCAGCAAGAAGGGTCCAGCCATGCCGGGGACAAAGCAGGGGGTGCAGCTGGCTGGGGTGCAGCTGGGGCTGGGGCACATCAGGGTGAATTTGGGTGCATTTGGGCGCATTTAGGTGCAAAGCTGCATTCCTACAATATGATGTCCTGCTGCAACGCAGTGTCCTGTTTGCCACAACCGCATTCAGGCTGGCAGAGCTGGGGCGGGACATGTCCCGTTGCGCACACGTGGAGCGGGGTGGCCGGGTGCACCCCATGTCCCCACAGTGGGTGGATACAAAGGACCCATGGCCCCCCTCGCAGGGGCTGCASCAGCACGGTGGGTGCCGGGTGCTCGGCCCTCTGTGCCCGCGGGCCATGGGGCTGGTGCTGCAGCGGGGCCGGTGCTGCAGAGCGACTGGGGCTGCAGCAGGATCGGGGCTGCAGCAGGGCCAGGACTGCAGCGGGGTTGGGACTGCAGTGGGGTTGGGACTGCAGCGATGCTGAGGCTGCAGCGATGCTGAGGCTGCAGCGGGGCCGAGGCTGCAGCGGGGTCGGGGCTGCAGTGGGGTCAGGACTGCAGAGAGGCTGAGGCTGCAGCGGGGTCAGGACTGCAGTGGGGTCAGGACTGCAGTGGGGTTGGGGCTGCAGCGGGGTTGGGACTGCAGCGAGGCTGAGGCTACAGCGAGGGCAGCACTGCAGCGGGGTTAGGGCTGCAGCGGGGTTGGGATTGCAGCGAGGCTGAGGCTGCAGCGGGGTCAGGACTGCAGCGGGGCTGGGACTGCAGCGGGGTTGGGACTGCAGCGGGGTCAGGACTGCAGCGAGGCTGAGGCTGCAGCGGGGCTGGCGCTGCAGCGGCGCTGAGGCTGCAGCGAGGGCAGCACTGCAGCGGGGCTGAGGCTGCAGCGGGGCTGAGGCTGCAGCGAGGGCAGCACTGCAGTGGGGCTGAGGCTGCAGCGGGGCTGAGGCTGCAGCGAGGGCAGCACTGCAGCGAGGCTGAGGCTGCAGCGAGGGCAGCACTGCAGCGCTGCCGGGCTCAGCCCCGGCCCGTGCGGCGGCCGTGGCGGAAGCAGGAGCGGTTTCCTGCGAGCGGCGGGAACAATGCGCGGCGCTGCGCACGCACACGGCGCCGGCCACCCCGCGCGCGGCCCCTGACCCGCGCGGCCGGAGCGCCCGGCCGGGGACGGCCCCGGGCTGCAGCTCTGGCACCCGGAGCCGCCCCAGGAGCCGCGACCTGGGACCGAGGCCGTGGCCGGGGGGTGCCAGGTCTGGGGGATGCCCTGGGCTAGGAGAAATGCCCAGGCCTGGGGGACGCGCCAGGCGGGGATGCTTCATGGCCGGGGGATGCTCGTGGCCGGGGGATGCACCCTGCCCTGCGGTGGGTGTCCCTGGTGCATCTCCCTCGATGCCGGCTGCTGCAGGGATAGGGCTACTCCCACAGGCCCCCCCAGTGCCCCAGCAGCGCTGATCCCATGGGACACCCCACTTGCCTCCTCCATCCCAGCCGGTGCCCGGCCCTGGGGGCTGCTTCCTGCGGCCACGGGGGTCCCGAGGCCCCGTCCCCGCGGGGGCCTTGTGACCCAGGCTTGCTGCGGGGCCGTGCCGCTCCCAGCCCCCCCCGGGCTTTTCCCATTCCTGGTTCCTGCAGAGATTTCCTCTTCCTCGACGAGCTCGGCGCAGCCTCTTGCACTTAACTGTTGCGCTACCTGTGTCCCCGCTGGGTGCCCCCCGTGTCCCCTCGCTCCCTGCGCAACCCACCGCAGCAGCCCCGGGCGCTTTGGGCACCCGGCTGTGCGCTGAGCGCCCCCATGCAAGGTTTGCGGGCAGCGCCTGTGCGCGGGGGCGCTTGGGGGGGTTGCAGAGGGGTGCACGAGCCTTTGGGTGCGCGGGGGCCGATGCGGGCACGGAGGAGGCGGTGTGGGCGTGGGGGAGATGCAGGCGGGCGTTGGGGGTACGTGGGTGTTCAGGGTGCATGGGGATGGTGCATGGGGGGTGCATGGGCAACTGGAGCGCAGGGGGCCGACGCATGGGTGCCGGAGGGTGGCACTAGGGTATTTAGGGTGCATGGACACGTGGGTGCAGGGGTTGGTGCAGGCGCCCTCGGGAGTTCAGGGTGCAGTGGGGGGGGGCAGGGAGATGCGCAGGTGTCGGGGTCTGGGAGGGT